AGTTAACACCTAGGTTTGCCAAGGCCAAGAGTAAATGCTAAGAAAAGTGCTTTCTTTATAGGAGCAGAATTAGATTCTTCAGCATGCAAAGCTTTTTTTCCACTGGACCATTTCTGGACACTACTAAGGTTTAGCGCACGTGGACTCTCATCCCGCTGCCACAGGGGCAGGACTTGCTTTACACTGGGCTGTCGAGCAGCCTACGCTTCTGCCTTTTGGCACAATGAGTCACAAACGTGAGCTAAGTAGACTTGAAGCACTTGTACAGCATTTACTCCACACCATACAAATACAACCCTGCAAAGTCAGGTTTTTTGCTAGTGCTCCTGGTAGGTGGCAGGTACCAAACAGCCTCTGCAGGGAAATGCTGGTTTTCTTTCTCCTTTCCTCAAATACCCATGTGTAGTGAGGCATGCCTTTTCTTATATGGTAACACCATGCTGTGGGTTTGTGAGCTTGGATTTAAGTGTAAAGGGTTAGGATATGAAAGCTGTTTCTTACATAGCCGGCCCCCTCTGGGGTTCCAAGCACAGGACTGAGAGCAGAATTCCCACCACCCAAGGATAGATACATGAACTACAAATGGTCAATTAATGGTCACTGGGGAATGCCATCCAAGGGGACAGGTAGAAAGAGGTTCTCTACACAAAAACGAAAAAAACCATTTGAAAAACCTCCCATAAATGGTGAAAACGCAGAGGATTACAAGGCATAAAAGATGGTCAGAGCCCCCTACAAGAACAGGAAAGGAGTTACAACAGGGAGAGAACGCTCCAGCATTGACACCGGGTAAGGACACTGTGTCTGATCAACACCACCTCTTCACTGCCAGCAGGTTCCCCACCCCTTCAGTACCTGAAGAGCACTGCTTTTTTATTAACATTTTGCTACTGCAGACTCTGCAATGACATAGTAAAAAAATAACCCACCGAGGTGTAAAGGATGGAGTAAATAAAAATTTTAGGGAGCCAACTGTACGCACGTTTTCTGCTCTACCTTTCCCATGTAACAAGGTCACAGATGCTGCACTTAGGCATAGTAAATCTAGATGCAGACTGGTGGATGATGCAGGCATCCTCAGCACTAAAGCAGCAGTCAAAGCCTGAAAGCAACTGGACAGACCACACCTGGGCTATGAAAAGATCTGCACCTGAGGGAATGAGCTTGTGTGGAGGTCTCAAAACTTACAAGGCTCATCTGCCTGAACAGCAGCATGGCAACACAGCATGAGCTTGCAGAAAGTAGTAATTCAGTAGGGACTGAACCCACGGTGTCGTGGTTTAATCCCGGCCAGCAACTAAGCACCACACAGCTGCTCACTCACTCCCCCTCCCTGGTGGGATGGAGGGAGAATCGAAAGGGTAAAAGTGAGAAAGAAACTCATGGGTTGAGATAAAAACAGTTTAATAGTTAAAAAGAATTAATAATTTAAAAAATAAAATTGTAAGGAAAAAAAAAGAATTACAAAGAGAGAGGAAAATAAAACCCAAGAAAGACAAGTGATGCAAATGAAAACTATTGCTCACCACCAACCGACCGATGCCCAGCCAGTCCCCGAGCAGCGCCCCCCCCCCCCGCCAACATCCCCCCCCCAGTTTTATTGCTGAGCACGGTACCATATGGTCTGGAATATCGCTTTGGTCAGCTGGGGTCAGCTGTCCTGGCTGTGTCCCCTCCCAGCTTTTTTGTGTGTCGTCCCCCCCAGCCTCCTTGCTGGCAGGGCAGTATAAGGAGCACGGAAGACCTTGGCTCTGGGTAAGCCCTGCTCAGCAGTAACCAAAACATCCCTGTGTTATCAATACTATTTTCAGCAAAAATCCAAAACATAGCCCCATACCAGCTACTATGAAGAAATTTAACTGTATCCCAGCCAAAACGAGCACACACAGAGAATTAGTTTCCCCTCAAACTCTCTAATACGGAAAGGCAGTGTGAAACGTGAGGAAGAGCAAAGTATGACGCACCTGGGCATGGCTGGCTGTCAGCCAAGAGGCTGAGAAAAGGATCAAAGAGTTTCTGGAGGAAATATTGGGACTGAGAGGTGAAAAGCAGCACTGAACATGGATTAAACAGAATTGAAAAGTTCAAAGTTTGACTGGCACGGGATGTGTCTGATGCAATGAAGACCATGACTCTGAGGAGGCAAATGTAGGAGGAGAAGGAAAGGCTAAACATTTGCTTTTAATGAGCAACAGGCAAGTAGGGAGAAACTGAATCAAATAGAAAGGCTGGGGCTGGTGTGAGAACAGAGACACGCCATTCAGGGACCATCACACACAGTGCGAGAGACACGCAGTGGCCTGCAAAAAGCAGTTAAAAGGTGAAGAAGGGACCACTGCAACTCTCAGGGAGAGTCCTGATCCAGAGGATTGGGATGGAGATGCATGGGAAGAACCAGACCCATGGAAGCCTGGTAACTGTAATAATAACAGTGCTAAAAAGGGCTTGTTGCCCCACATCACAGGCCTCACTGCAAGATGAGCTCTGTAACTTGGGAAGCCAGCCAGAGAAACAAATGGCACCTCCAGTTACCAAGACCACTGTAAAGAAAACCAAGGCTGCAGATGCAGCCCAGCAGAGAAGCAAGTCCCTCACAACAGGCTTCGTTCCACAGCAAATAAGATCTGTGACAGGTGATGGGTGCCCTAAAAAGGGATTCTGCTGAGTAGCTGGTTAAACTGGAGGGATGTCCTTGATTAACAGCATATGACTGTATGGATCTAGCTCAAGCAGCAGCCTCAGGGTGAGACTGGGACCAAGATCGGCCACATTGGCTGAAGATCCCCTAGTCAGTGATTACTCAGACTGATGGATGTGATGGATCATTAAGGGGTCTTACTCTGGCAAACTGTACCGGGTCTGGCTGGGAGGGAGTTACCTTTCTTCACAGTAGCCTGCATGGTGCTGTGCTTTGGATCTGTGACTAACGGTGTTGACAACACACCAACGTTTTGGCTATTGCTAAGTAGTGCTTGCACAGCGTCAAGACATTTTTCCCACTTTTACATTATGGACTTCTTGGCAAGCTGTCCCACTTCTGATGTTTGATATTTCTTTCAGCTTTGGAAAGTTATTCGTCAAAATATTCTGATATTGTTTTATTAGGTTTTTACTTTTCTGTTTGAACACAGCTTCAGGTTTTTGAAAGACACCTTACTTTTTTTCTTCTTCTGGTGACACTTCTCATAGCAGTTTCCTTTCAGCCTTTTCAAAAGGAACTTTAAAAAGAGAGACACATTTGCAGTAAGCTTTCATCTTTAAATAGTAATTTCTGAAGCTAGACCTAAACATAACATCTTATTTCCTTTTACCTCACTGTTGGACTGTAAAAATGCTGATTTATTTTTATCACTGCACTACCATCATCCATTCCCAGGGTAACTCCCTTTCACAGAAACTGCTGTAAAGCAGGATGTGGATAAGATTAAGTCTGCCCTGAAGGATACATTTTGTTGAGGAGAACTGTGACTTCATTATTCGTCCAGATCTGTGTTCCCAGCACAAAAATGACATGGATACATGACGGTGGGCCCAGTGAACTTGCCACTAAGGGCCACTAAGTTGATTAAGCAGCTGGAGCATCTGACATATGAGGAGCTGCTGAGGCAGCTGGGATTGTTTAGCCCTAAGAAGGAAAGGCTCAGTGGGGATCGTATCAAAGTGTATAAATAGCTGATGTAAGCAAGATGTATCCAAATTCTTCTCAGTGGTATTCAGTGACAGGACAAGAGGCAGTGGGCACAAATTAAAATACAGGAAATTCCACTTAAACATGAAAAAAACTTTTTACTCTGAGGGTGATAAAACACTGGAGCAGGTTGCCCAGAAAGGCTGTGGAGTCTGGTGGGGATCTTCCTCAGTTGAAAGAACTGACCATTTATCCCTACCTCTATCTCTTATCTTTTAACAACAATATCTCTGGACCAGCACCTTCCATTTTATTTATTTTTTTTTTAATTGATAACACTTCCTTGCAAAGGTTTTTGGAAACTCAAGTAGAATGTATCAACCAGATCACCATAATTTTCATGTCTTCCCAACCCTTCATAGAACTCAAAGAGTGTTCTAAGGCAGGACTCCCTTCTACGGGAACAATGTTGACTAAGCAACTTGTATTTCTCCCAGCACCTACTAATCCTATCTTCTGTTATTTCTACTAATTTACCTGGAACAAACATCAGGCTTAGAGAGCTACAGTTCCCCAGAACTCCACTGCAATCGCTTTTACAGTCTGGCATCAAGTTTGCTACCAGGAAGTCTTCAGACACCGAGAAAGGTTTTGAGTAGGAGGTTACATTCGACCGTGATTCGGCTTCTTCGTTCATGAGTTTGACGAGAAACCCAGGAGCTGCCCATCTGTCATTTTTAGGGTTTACGCTGTTCATCTCCACTGTGACCCTCTTCTACAGTCGCTCTTGTTTCAGACAGATCCTCGACGGAGTGCTGACCCTACAAGGGGTTCCACGGAAGGGAATCTTCCAGAGGAAACCCACCTTCACGAACAGTTACAAACTCCTTCCAACACCTTTCTTTGACCGCAGTTCCGCCCCATCCCAAGCACCCCGAAAAAGCACAGCACGAAATCGCCCACCGAAAAGTCGCTACGAAGCTGTCCCAAGACAAAAACCCAAACAAGTTTGCCTCACAGACTCCCCCTCCAGCCCTTCCTTCGCCCCTCCGGGCCGGTCCGGTCCGGGCTGCCGCAGCAGACGGCGCCGGAGGAGGGAAGGAACGCCGGAGCTGGACAGCGGCCTCCCGCCCCGCCCCGCCCCGCCTCGACCACCGCCCCTCAGAGGCCACGTTGGGGCCCGGCGGTGGCCGCAGGGGCAATTTTGCGAGGGTGTTTTCCTCAGGTTTTTATTTTTTTTTTTTTTAAATTGATGCAGTTCCCGGCCGCCCGCCGTCGGTGGTAGGGGAGCGTAGCGGTGCGGGAGGGAAGGCGGGAGGGGAGCGGAGCGCGGGGCCGCCTCAGGTGGCGGCGTGCTCCGTCTCTCCACAACATGGCGGGCGCGGAGCCCTTCGCGGCGGTGCTGGCCGCCCTGCGCGGCTGCTACGCCGAGGCCGCCCCGTTGGAGACCTTCATCCGTCGGTTGCGGGAAAGCGGCACCGGGGAGACCGAGGTGCTGCGGGGCGACGACGCCCCCTGCTACCGGACCTTCGTGGGGCAGTGCGTGGTGTGCGTCCCCCGCGGAGCCCGCGCCATCCCCCGGCCCTTCACCTTCCAGCAGGTAGGAGGCAGGGACCGAGCGGTAGCCCGCTCGCACCTGCGTCGCTCCCGGGGCGGCCGCACCAGCGCAGCCCTCGCCGAGGACCGAGCCCCTACCGGGGTTGGTTGTTGGTGGGGGGGGACACCGGGCGAGAACCCGGACACCCCCCCCCCCCCCCCATCCCCATCCATCCCCATCATCCCCATGCCGGTGGCGCGGGGCTTCCCCGGGCGGCTGGGGCGAGCGGTGAGGGCCGTGCCGACCCTGAGGGGGGCCGCGGAGGCGGCGCTGGGCGCTGCCGCCCGCCTTGGCTGGGTGGTAGAGCGCTTCCTGCGTCCTCCATGGCTGCGCGGGGGCGGCGGACCGTCGCCCCTCGTGGCTGCTGCCGGCCCGGCCTCCCCTCGCCTCGCCTCGCCTCGCCTGCCCCCTTCCAGCCGCCTCGGTTGTCGGCCCTAGGCAGCGGGGAGCGGTGGGGGGATCGTTCCCCCCCTCCTCCTCCTCCTCTGGCTGGGGGGGGGGGCGAGCAAAGCGCTGGCGCTCAGCGGGTGGGTGGTTAGCCAGGGCAAAAAGGCTGCCGGCCTGGGGGCTCCCTGACTTGCACTGTGGGGTAGGAGTGAACAAACTCAAATGTGGCCCGGGGAGCAGCTGGGGAAGTGGCATTTTTTCATTTCCACTCTTGAGAGGGTAAGGAAGAGGGGGGGAATACCGCTTGCAGGTCGGCGTTTAAGCAGAAGAAACTTTTCAGAGGGGAAAAGACGGCTTTTTCTCTTGGAGCCGCGAAGTGCATGAGCGAAACCGTGCTACGGTAGGAAACGAACTTTGCAAGCTTGTTGAGCGGGTTTTAGAATTGTGAACCGAGTCGTTTAGTTGAACTTTTCTTTACGTAAAAGGAAATGGAGGCCTCAAGAAAATCGGTGTTAGTTCCCTGGAGGTTAGAGCCTGCATGAGCACGTATCTACGAGCACTTATCTACGGGCAGAGTGACCCGAAGGCCTTGGAGTCCAGGTTGCTCAGGGAGCCGAGGGGAGTAGTGTAGGGTGTTTCCTGGGCATGAAAACGAGGATCAAAAGGGCAGACGTTAAAAAGACTTCCTTAAAGTCGTAGGCCCGTGTCGCTGCATGTAAACATGTTCTGGTACACTTGAAAACCTTTCTTTTTGGGTATGGCACTTTTGAATCGTTAATATTGCTTTGAAAGGGCTTGATCTAAAGCTGATGGCTAGGACTGTGTATCTTGCATGTCTGTTTATTTGAAGTGTATATTGTGGTTTATGGAAGAGTTGTTGATAAAAAACTCATTCTCTTTCTTTCTTTCTTTCTTCAGTTATCTAGTCAGAGTGAAGTCATCACACGAGTTGTTCAGAGACTGTGTGAAAAAAGAAAGAAGAATGTCCTCGCGTATGGATACTCCTTACTGGACGAAAACAGTTCTCATTTCCAAATCATGCCGTCTTCAAATATATACAGCTACCTACCCAATACTGCAACAGAAACTATTCGTATCAGCGGCCTCTGGGAAACACTGCTGAGCAGGATAGGGGATGATGTGATGATGTATTTGTTGGAACATTGTGCAATCTTTATGCTGGTTCCCCCTAGTAATTGTTACCAAGTTTGTGGGCAACCAGTTTATGAACTTATTTCACATAATGTAGACTCATCCCCAGTGTTTGTTAAACAAAGGTTTTCAAAGCATAAACGTAGTAGCTTGCTTGACTATATGCAAAAAAGGCTTATGTTTCATAGAAAGTATCTTTCAAAGTCGCATTGGTGGAAATGCAGGCAGAGACTTGAAGCTAAGGTCTCCAGCATGGGAAATAAAAAAAATAACAAGACACAAAGCGTCATGTCCAGTTACCAGTATTCTGCAAAAGCCGTTTCTAAAGCAAGCAAACAGATCAGAATGGTTACTGAACATCTGGAAAAACAGAGTAGCTCCAGATTATATTTGTCAGCTACAGCACCGTCTTTAAAAAGGAAGCTTGATAGGGAGCAACTTGAAATTTCAGCTAAGAGAGCAAAAGTAGAGGAAAAAGTGAGAGAGGAAAAGGCTTGTAATCTCACTCCTGATGTAAACCAAAGTAGTTCCAAGAGATACGGAACTGGGTATGTAGAATCACATTCTGTAAATCTCATTAAAAACCAGCACGTTTCTCAAAGAAGTAGCAGTGATATGTCTGGTCCTTCTTTAGTTCACACATCTTGTGACGGGAAGAAGTTTGTGGCAGGTGAAAGGTCTTTCCTGCGAGGAGTTCAGAGTAACAAACTTTTAAAGCCCAGCATTGAAATTCAAGCAGAATCCCATAGGAAAGGAGTAGAGATGCATGTGTATAAATCTCAGTTGGATTCTGTACAGATCAAAGCCGTGGAGGGTATTTCTTCAAAATGTGGAAGGCGGGAAAGTCCCCTAGCTCATTTGGCAAAGAAGTTACCAAACACACTCCTGCGTTCTGCAGTATACATTGACAGGAAGTTTCTTCTGTACTCTCGCAGGAGTTTCCAAGAATGTTTTCCTAAATCGTTTTTATTGAATCGCTTGCAGGGCTGTCAGGCAGGTGGAAGACGGCTTATACAAACTATATTCTTAAGCCAAAATCTGTTGGAGCAAAAGCACAGCCAAAGTCTGCCACATCACAACTGGAGAAAGAAGAGGTTGCCCAAACGCTACTGGCAAATGAGACACACATTTCAGAAACTCTTAAAGAACCATGGAAAGTGCCCTTACTTAGTTCTCTTGAAAAAAAATTGCCCTGTCTGGATATCTGAAACCAGTGTGAGACAAACTGAGCTGCCTTCTCAGGCAGCCTTGCCTGGGGAAGCAGAGGTTCGCGAGCAAGTGGAACAGTTTGGGAAGGAGCCTACTAAGAGTGTGACAAGCAGCAGATGTGAATCTGGTCACACTGATGCGCCAGACAACTTACGTGCTCCTCTTGCAAAATCTGTGCGGGGGGAGTTGCAGAGTGAGGAGCAAAACTCGGGAGAGGTGTGTGATTCAGCCCTCGGGGAGCTCCTCAAGCAGCACAGCAGCCACTGGCAGGTGTACATCTTTGTGAGGGAGTGCCTGGAGCGGGTCATCCCCGCTGAGCTTTGGGGTTCTAACCATAACAAGTGCCGGTTCTTAAAAAATGTGAAAGTGTTCATTTCCATGGGGAAGTTTGCTAAGCTTTCGTTGCAGGAGCTGATGTGGAAGATGAGAGTGAATGACTGCATGTGGCTTCGTCTAGTCAAAGGTACTTCTTAAAGAATTTAAGTGGCGGGGGTGTCAGATGGCTGGTGTTCACGTTTAAGGTGGGAAGGCGAGGGTACTGAGTCTGAGTTCAGAGTTGTTGGGTTCACTGATAATAACCATAGCCGAGAGAGCAAACCTAGTAATATTTGTAATTGATGGTGGAATAACACTTAAGCCTGTCTTCCTTCCAAAACTACAGTTTTCATCGTTTTCATTCACGCTTTTTGTGTATAATAGGATGACATTTTCACAACCATGAATTCAGAACCTGGGCCTTTCAACAGAGCCCCCTTCCACCCCTCCCTCCAAATTGCAGTAACTCTAAAAATTCCTTGAAGTATGACCTAAGCACATAAGGAACAAATGCAGTCTGCCTGTTGGTTACCATAAGCTTTCAGAAAGAACTGAAGAGGCTTGTAGTGGCATGTGTTCCTCTGCTGTGGGAGTGAGCCTTCGTTCCACAGCGTGTTTCCCCCCCTTGCCCCCCCCATCAACCTTGTGAGAAAGACATGAGTATGGGAGCTGTGCAATGCAGGCGTTGTCCACTATCTGTTACCTTTCTAGAGCCCGACTCTAGGAACAAGAGACCCATGCTGAGCACTACTTCAGGCTGGGTCGTTGATGGTACAGAGGTCACCAGACCGAGTGGTCCCTGGCTGAAAGCTGTCGTGAGGGCATCAGCTGATTGCTCCAAATTCTGTATGAATCCCTTCAGTTTAGTCCTCTTTTTCAAATGATGTCAAGTAAATCTTGCTTCCCTGAAAAAGTCTTTTTTTCAGACACTATCCTAGGACTTAAATCTAGGCTGAAGCTGGCGTTCTGTGGTTGATTGCTGTAGGATCTAATGCATGTTGTCATTTTTCTGTGCTTCCATTCTCCACCTATACAATGTGGATTGCACTTCCTTAACTGGTATGTTTGCAATATTTATTCTTACCTGGTTATGTACGTGGATCCTACAGTAATGTGAGCTGAAAATGGTATTCCTTCTTAAAAGGTGCGATAAGGTTCTGAAATTACTATGGGTTCTTTGTAATGTAGGAGGAAAATAAACAAGTCTGATGTTTGAGAACTGATGTCAAAAATAGGGGAGGTTACACTTCCATAAGAAACTGTTAATTCTAGCAAATACGTTGATTCTTTATTCAGAAACTCTGGCTCAAAAACATGCTTTTCAAAATGCTGAGGAGTTAAATATTTTAAAAGGTTTTTATTGTAGAATATATGTTTGGTTCATAGTCATTTGGAACATCTTATCTGAAAAAAATGTAATACCCTCTTACTCTCTGGCCTTATTCCAAGAAAAGCAACACATAGGCTTAATTTTAATTTTCATGAAAGTACTCCCTTGTGCTTGAAGTTTAAACACACATTTAATTGCTTTGCTGCACTGTAGGGTTTTTTTTTTTCTCCAAAATTGGTAGTAGTGGTTTCTTGTTAGTTCCCTGAATTGTAGCCATCATCTACATCTGTTGTCAAGCACTTAGTAAAAAATGATCTAGTTCCAGGACAGCTACTTAACAACATGCTGATTTAATTTGTGTATTACAGCCGCATATTGCAACTCTTCAGTTAGAGGATTTTCTAACAGTCACTGGATTTTTTCATTGATGTTAGCTGGCTTCTGTTGAAGTGAACACTGTTTTCTCTCTTTATGGTAGTCTTTTCTTAGGTGCTGTAAATACATGAATATGTCTCCTCCCTGAAGCACACAAAAACCAAACAGGGTAGAGAACTGGCAACTTATTTTCATTTCATAAGTCTCAGTTTTAAGCCTCAGCTCTTTTGTGTCAAAATTAAGCTGTTTTTAACACATTTGTGCCATAATCATTTGTGCTATGCAGCTAAACTAATATTTCTCTATATTTCTTTAAATTATCCTGTTGTATTTTGCTAAATTCTACTCTTAAATTTAATTAGAAAAAAATGTAATTGAAAGTTGGCAAAAATTCAGTATTGTAGCACTGGGTTTTATTCCCTACTCACCCATATTTCAGCACCACTACTGGCCTTAAATTTGACAGTAGCTAGGAATGTTCTGGGTTTGTAATTTTTGTGCCATCTAAATATTAGAAGTGCTGATAGACTTAAATAAGGGTGATTTTTTTTTTCTTCTTTTTTTTGACTGCAGCAATAAGTTTTTATAATAGGATGTCTGAAATAAAGGTTAACCCTGAAATTAATTTTCATGTAACTGGGAAATCTGAGTATCATTCTTATCCCCAGGTCAGCCCAGTTCAATTCTGTTATTTTTACAGTATACCTAAGTATTTTCATTCTTTTGCACTTTTTTTTTTTTTAAGTTTTATATTGTAGTAGGCTTATTTCCATTTTGCCTTTCCCTTCACAATAATTTTGCCATTGTGCATTAAAGATCTTGCACGATCAATGCTGGGGAAAGAAAGTAAGTCTTTGGGCTACTAATGGCATGTATTCATATCCTGTATGTCAGTTTGTCACTGCAGATTAGTTTCTATGTTTGTACTTTAAGCTTGGGTCGGTCACTTTAATGCCAGTGAAAATTTGGAGTGGCATCTGTGCAATTGTTTGTACTTGCTTTTTTTCTTTCCATTAACCTCAAGCTAAGAAAAGTGTTAACAATGTGTGGTTTTTTTGTTTGTATGTTCTGTTTCTTTACTAATACAAACAGTTGATATTCACTATAACTACCTTTGAATTGTTTATTGAAGGTGATCACTTTGTTCCTGCGTATGAACATTGTTTCCGTGAAGAACTTTTGGCTAAATTCCTGTACTGGCTGATGGATACCTATGTTGTTGAGTTGCTCAGATCATTTTTCTATATCACCGAGACCATGTTCCAGAAAAACATGCTTTTCTACTACCGAAAGTTTATTTGGGGCAAGTTACAGAACATTGGAATTAGGTAACATTGGAAAAGTAATCAAACATTAATGGAATATGTAGAAATCTCGTGTTTTGTAGTGTAAAGTTATAATCCTGCTTTCATTTATTGCCCATTTATCCTCCTTTTATTTGCTTAATTTCCCAAAAGAAAATTCAGCCTGTGATTTTAGTATGCACAGCTTGTAAATTATGAAGTATTTTGTGTGAGAAAAGTGATTCAACTTTAGAATTCTTTGGTAGGAGAAGAGAAACCTTTGCCACAATAAAATCCATTTTAAAGAGGATTTTGTTTTGATAAGTCAATTTTTTACACCTTTTAACAGTGAGTAGAGCATAGTGACAGAATCCCAAAGTAACCTTGGGAAAGTTAATTTTAAAAATACTCAATTTGCTTCAACTGCTTTAATTAAAAAAAACCCAAAAAACCAAACCCCCCAAAAACAACCCAAACCTCTGCTGAAATGCTGTAATACTCTAGTCAGAAATTCAGACAGTAGCTTTGTGGTTTCAGGTTTTTTAAGACTGAAGGATTTAAAAGCTGCAGTTTCTTTTTTAGTGCAGCTGTGGAATTCCATGCTGCTTTTTTGGTCCTAAAAATGCATGCATGTATTTAAGTTAGAGCGTTATTTAAGATCAAATTTTAAGCAATTAAGTGAGAAAATAGGGAAGATCTGAAGGCAATTTTAATGAATGGTATTGCGCACACATCTCCATAGTTCACATCTTTTTGGGTTTTCGTTATAAATTGTTGGTGTCTGAGAGCGTTTTGGAACTGTGCAAAATTAGCATATTTTGTCTTGTCTTTTAATGGCTGTGTTATGCAGTCAACCTTTTGCTTTCACAGTGGTCTGTTGGTCTACAATGTTATATATGTGATTTTATTTTTTTTCCCCTCCTGCCCGCTGCGCCCTGATATCAACATTGGTATCTCCAGTGTAGCTCTTCTGCATGTTTTTGCACTTAATGGGGCCTCAATCTTGTTTGCAGTTGTAGCACAGAATATGCAATTTAGTAGTAGTAGAATATAATTTTCAGTACCGCATATTCTGTTTGTTTTGTCTTCAAACTAACACTTAGTTTTGCAATTAGTGTTTTATGTAGTTTTAATGTACTTTAAAGGCTACTTTTTGGCATAAAGTATCATCAAGTACTAATTTTACACATTAGATATAATGCTGTTTTTAGTGGGGTATGTGATTAAAAGAAAATTTGGTTTTAGCCCTTTTGTCCCTATTCCCAGTTTCCCAGAAAAACCAGGCATGTAAGGACAAGGTGCTCTGAACTCCAAAGACCCTAATCTGGGCTGATCCCGTTTCTTCTAATTTCCTCCCCACATATTTCCCCACTGTGCAGGAAGCCCTTCCTCACCTTTGGCTTGGGATGTTCCTGAACAGTAGATTACTGGAAGCTGGGGAAGCATCCCGAGGAAGTACTGCTGCGTGCTTGCCAAGGGTGTACTGTAAGGGCAGGGTGTTTGCTGTTGGCTACAGGATACATAGCTATAGGGACTTTTAGTCTGATCCCAGCAGCTGTGCTTAAGCTTCACTCACAAGGCTAGGGCTTTCAGCACTGCTTTTTCAAGTGTGCAATGTAACATGAGGTCTCCTACTAATCCAGCTTACTGCATTCATACAGGTGGCAAGCTGCCTGCTTCACACGGGAGGAGAGGAATTGGGGTTTAGAGATCTTGGGAAACAGCTGTTGAGGGCTGCCTTGGCCATTTTGAGGGTCTCCAGGCACCATCCTCTCTTAACCAGCCAGCGTTTTCAGGCACTGTTGGTGAATTGGTGCCAGAGGCTGTTGAGCTGCTTTCATCTTCCCTGGAGAAAGAGTATGTGGCTGTTTTGAGGTTGTCCTGGTTCTTTTTCTCAGCTGGAGCTGCTTGTGGCCATTGCTTTGAGCTGGCTTGCAGGAAAGTGTTCACAGCCGAGCGTGGCCACTGATGCCTTTCCAGTTCTTTTGCATCCTCCTTTGGGAGGAAGAGAGTGGATGGAACAGGCTGGACTGAGTGGACCTGGACTTTACTCATGAGCTTGTCTTTGCACTGCATTGTCATTAGGGAGTAAATCCCCATGAGTAGATCTTCCTATGCAGAATCCCACTCAAGAGTACAGACCACGGTTCTGAGAGGGGACCTGAATCTTTATGTTTGTCTTGCTGTATGGGTGGAGGTGAGAGTGTGCTGGTCATAGCACACAGACAACTTTCTATTAACTTTTGAGGCTATACCAAATGTCATACGCCAAATTAAAAAGAGTAGTTACTAAGAAAAATTCAGTATTTCATGCTACAGTTGCTTCAAGTTACATGGCCCACAGAATGCAAAGTTATGTTTTAAAAATAAGGTACCCGATGTTGGGGTGACAGCATCTGTTTTCCTAAGGACCGTGCCCTCCCTGCTCTTGCCACACACAGTGGCTGCTCAGGATTGAAAATGCTGCAGAAGTTCTGAATCTCCCCCATCAGGTTGTGGTGAGGTGACAAAAGACAGCGGGACCATCCACTCAACTTCCTCCAAGTTCCCGTGCTTAACAGCGTTGTGAGTGTGCAAATGAGAGCAGAATGGTTCAGTGGCCACTAGATCAGTGCATATTAAAAATCATTAGCACTGCTATAAATGCCATGAAATAAGCAATGAATGTTGCTGCAGGCAAAATGATGTCCAATTCTATAGCTGGCCAGAGGTAGTAATGATGAAGATATGCCAATAATTGGCCTTTGTCTTCACTTTCAAAGGAAGTAATTTTTTTTTTATACAGTGGTTGAGGTTTTTTTTCCTCCAGACTTAAATGTGAACTGTAAAGGGGTGGAGATTTGATCATTCAGTTGTTTCTGTTGAACTGGAGTTCTTTGTTTTGTCTTCGTGATCTACCTAATACTGTAGTACATGATGAAGTTTTATGGGTTCAGGAAAGAATTTAAGTCATTATGAATAACAGCGATCTCTAGCTGTGGAATAGGGATGTCCTGTCCTTTCTGCCTTACTTTAGGCAGCATCTCTACCAGGAATTTAATTCCAAAGTTGGAGTATAAATCCTGAAAACACTCGCTCAGTAATAGCTCAACTTGCTGGCCCTGGATGCCTCTATACCTTCTAGGTGTCATGCACTGTATCGCTTGGACCCCAGCAGTCCCAAGCAGCTGGATCATTACCTTGTGAGTTGTGTTGGCATAGAGAAGTATTTGTGTGCCTCTTACCTGCATGCTTGGCTTCTCAGGTGTCTCCTAGAGCATGCTTACCAGCTTTCTACTATCCATCCACTGCCTTTTGTGATAGTGTGGCCTCCTATTGTTAAACCAGCTGGTTGGTTTGTGTGGGACGTGAAAAATCTGCATGTAAGTTTAGATATGTATCCCTTCTTTTGCGAGGATTTGAATTGTCTTGCTTCACTTCCCAGGGCAGTAGCCTAACCACTAGGCTGTAGGGCTTTTTGGAATGGCACGTTTTGTCCATCTGAACAATACAAGCAGTGCAGGAGATTGATCCAGGTCTTTTATGTTGCAGGTAGGGCACTTTAACAATACATCTTAAGTAAAAGCAAGGGCTTTTGCTCCACCTCCTTTTCCTGCGTCATTGCATGGGAAAGTATTGATTTGGACTAAGCTACACTGCACTGTAAATCCTGAGGGGGAAGCACATTTCCCAGTAAGATGAATTTACAGAGCTCAGAACCTGTGACTTGGGAGCCTTCCGTTTTTCATTATTTTGTGCTGTTCAATTTAGCTGCAGCTAACACTTGAATCATGTTACTGGATACCTAAATGCCCTTATGTTGTATATGTATCCTAGTATCTCAGTTCACTATAACTTTTAATAAGTAGTAGGTCCCCTAAATGTTGGGAGTAGAACAGCCCATTACAGTGTGCAAGTCCTTCCCTGGATCTTTCTTAACATAGTTTTCTGAAGGTTCTATTCAACTTCGTTAATGTCTTTCAAGCTTCTGAAACCATGAGAAATATCCAACTTCCTGTTGTCTTGCATCAAAAATATTTCATAATGTTCAAAGGTACTCAGCTAATATGTGCTTAAATTTTCATTTGTGTTAATTAAGATTTTTTTTAATTACCTTAATTTGCATCAAGCAGAAATGTGTACTCTCTTATTATTGTATTACATTGTTGTTAAGATACTGTGAAATTGTTCTGAAATTCAGACTTCCATGTCACTTTCTGCAGAGGTTAGTATTTGTAATTATCTTAGAAAAATATTTGGTTTCAGTTATCACAAAGAGATTAAGTGTTTTAACTTTACTGCCTTTCCTGTTGCTTACACTAAATGTGTATTTGCATTTTAGAAACCATTTTGCCAGAGTACACCTACGTGCTTTATCTTCAGAGGAGATTGAAGCTGTCCGTCAAAAAAATTATGTTCCTATGGCATCAAAGCTCCGGTTCATTCCCAAAGCGAATGGGTTAAGACCCATAGTAAAAGTGAGCGGTGTTGTTGAAGCACGAGCATTCAGCAGGGAAAGCAGAGAAAAGAAGGTTTTTATTTTCTTTATTGTTTTTATGCGGGTTTGATGTAGGTAGCTAATACAGTGAGTAAGGTTTTTTGTTACATAAAACTAGTTTTGTGAACTGGAACATTCAAATCAGAATGACTGAATGGGTCTACCTGTTGCAACTTAGCTTCTCCCTTCCCAGTGCTTAATTGCCATTAGCCTCCAATTCCAGAATCATGTACTTCTGTTAGCAAGCCTGTCTTAAGGAAATGAGTCTTAACAGAATGGCAATGGCCTGTCAGGTAATCGTGTTTTCTTTCTCTTCTCTTTCCATCCCTTTCCCTCAGGCTTGCTAACTGTGTCTGGTTGTGGTAGGCATTGGCCATCTATGGGAGCAGAAAGACAGAAATCTCAGAGATGCTCAGTATTCTGAACTAATGTGTCGTATTTGTTTGGCACACCAGAGAGTGAGGGATGGATGAGTCCAAATCCCTGTTGGGATTTAGCTGAATACTGATTGTGCATGTTGATCAGCTAGTTGGCTGTGGTGCCAGGTCTACTCAGGGGGCTGAACAGTGGTGCATTGGGTGTGCTACAGGAGAAGGTCTAAGAAGGGCGAGTGAGCTGGGTCAAGGATAGTAGGGAGATAGGAAGGAGGCAGGGAATTACTGCAGTGTGGGAACAAAGACAGAACATGCAGTGCATGGAGTAATCTATTTAACAGGCCAGTTAACCACAAGACATAGTGGGAACCCAGTTTCACTATCTTGCATGACTGCATTTATTGTTTTTCCTCAAGACTGAGTTCCACTTAGTGCACAAGATTTAAGTGTTCCCCAAATGGGTGAGAAGTCAATGGCTTCTTAGTACTTACTGTTCAGTATGTGATCCCAGCCCAGTTTAGAATCGTAGGGGTAGTCTTGGCCAGCTTCTGTAGCTCAATGCTGGAATGTATCCAGATGAATTGTCAGAGAGAATCTCCCAAATATCTAGCGAACCAATTTCTGATTCTTGGGCAACTCTCAGACTTCGCTGCAAAATACATGGTGGAATGTGTCCAGTTCCATGAATTTATCCTCAAATCAGTGTAGATTTTATTTTGTTTCAAAGGTTTTACGTATTTGCTTTACACCCTTCTTCCTTTTTCATTTGAACCAGTATTTTTTTTTTTCTATTTTTTATTTTTAATGGGAAGCTCAAAGCACTGGGCAGCAGCAGGGTTCCAAAAGATCTGATTTGTCTGAGAGCTCGTAGTCTTCTACTGCATTCTGGAGAGATTCCAGCAGATCTTTAGGTTTTGGAAAAATGTTAACAAATCTGTGGATTAGACCTGGGGAATTAAGAGGCTCGAGGGAATTCCTTCCAACATGAAAATGAGGAGCTACTGTGACTACTGCAGCTCCAGGTCTCTCAGGTCTAGTTCAAACAGTTTGAAACCAATCTGAATTTTCTTTTATTGACTCACCTGCTAACACCCATATGGCCATCAGCTTTGTGAGAAGGTGAAAGCGTGCTTTTTGTGAAAAAGCAACCATCTTGGGATATGCTTATTAAGAAGGGAAGGAGGAACTTTACTGGTGATTACTTTGAACTTGCTGCTTCTGTTTACCTTTGAGCTACATCTCTACCCTTTCGATTGTTTTTCTTAGGAACTTGGCTTATAACAGAAAAGATACCACTGCAATAATTCAGGAAAGCATGTTAATTTTCAGAAATCTTTGTTTTATAAACTTGTCAAAAACATTTTGCAAGATCAGCCAGTGAATGAACATAATTACTTACCTTACGTAAAACAGTGAAGTTGGATTAAGTTGTTCTGGAGGCAGTGGCAGTAGTCCACTGAACATTTTTGGTGTGCTTTAGTTTTGCCAGCTTTTCACTGAAACCTGTAATTGATTTTTTTCAGTGCAAAAATAAATGTTTTCAGATGACTTGGAATGCTTCTGTAATTAGTAGTTTCAGTGTATCTGTATCATGATCATAATACTACTGTTGATAGTAAGAACGCTTTTATGTATACATTTTGGAGGATTTCTCTGAAGCTCTAAACTGATTCATAAGTATGCTACGTGTGCGGTTTGTTTTCTTTAGTAGTATGGCTTGCCCTTTCAACATTCTTTTGTTGCCAGCTCTGTCAATATTTTTTTTTCCTTAAGGTGTTTACAGAGCTAATCAACCTGCAGAACTTCACTGCCGCTCTGGTGTAGTTTATTATTCCCATAGCTGAGAGTTAAATCTTTGCTAACGTACTTGCATAAAGTACCTCCAGAGGCTCAACTGGTGGTCCAGCTGGAGTTAGCCTAAAGTCTCCGGGCACGTATTCTTTTTGCTGTTCTTCTCTCCAGCAGAGAGAATGAAAGGTATTTAAGAAGACGCCTTTTAATTGGTGGCAGTTTTATTTGCTGGAGTTTATCTCCTTAACTATTACACCTTGATTTCCAAGAGTCAAGTACAGAAAAAAAAAATTTTCCATAGGATATAAATCTACAACCCCCCCCCCAGCCCCCCCCCCCCCCCAACCTCTGAGGCTGTTTTGACACTTCCAAGTAGTTACTGCAGTTGACCAAAATAATACAGTAAATATACAAATTTAATCTCATACTTCATCTGAATGTGAAATCTATGTATTGCACAGAATTTAATATGTTTCACCATACTTTAAGGTGATTCTCTTTGGTCTCTTTTTAGATGCATCACTACAACACTCGACTAAAAAATCTATTTAGTGTGTTAAATTATGAACGGACTATAAACACCAGTTTTATCGGCTCTTCAGTGTTTGGGAAAGATGATATCTACAAGACATGGAAGAAGTTTGTTACAAAGGTTCTTGAATCAGATGGTGAAATTCCTCATTTCTACTATGTAAAGGTATGTCTTTTTAATTACATATTCAGACTAACTTCAAAGTCAGCTTGTGCACATATTTTTATACCTGTAATAGGTGTGATCTGAGTGCATGATCATTTCTTTCTCAAAATAAACTTTTGTGCATACCTAACACAGACTCTGGTTGGTTTTTTAAGGGGGGGTGTCCCTGCAGTAGTGCTTCCTTTACTTGGATATTTTTCTGTTAATCTTTCTGTCATGTAGCAGCTCTTGCTTCTGCACATGCACTGGCTTTTTCAGTTACACTTACTTGAGTGTAAAAATGGGACAAAAATAGAAACTCAGATATGCTTTTAGGGCCATCTTCCCAAAGGAAAACCAGGAAAAACTCGCTATGCACATTTGGATAAATTAAGCATCTTTTTAAAATAGGTCTCTTCTGTCTCAGTATCATTAGTTTCTGTTGAAAATGAACACTTGAACTCTAGTGTGTCTCCAACAAGTTTCTTCTCCCACTTGAAAATAATGAGTGCTTGTCATATCCCACTATTTGAAGGAGTTTCTTCTTAACACTTTTGTTTTTCAGTTAAGTCTAGCAGGCAACCTTTTGTGTTTGAGCTCAATTCATAGCTTTGAATTGGAGCAATTTATACAGATGTATGTAAATTACACAGATTTTTATATATATATATTATGGTGGGGCTCCTCTCCCATGCTCTCATATGTCAGTTGTCATCCTGTCCTGAAATTACTTTCAGTGATTGTCTCGTTAACTTTCAAGCCAAGGAATCATGTCATTGATGTAGTTCTCCTAAGGTTGTTGCTTCTTCAGAAGGTTTTGAATTTTGACTATGACAAGTAAAAGCAGAAGTAAGATTGCAATATGAGGTTTAGGAAAGGTGAAACACCTGAGTTTGCAGCTTTTCAAAAGCCTAAGATGTCACGTCCGTGATCACATGGAGAGGAGCATTTCTTAAAATATTTAAACATAAAATATCAGCAATAAACTTTACTTAAATGATTGAAGGTTAAGTGTTAGATTTAAGGTTGCATATGCTATCATCTTCTGTTAGTAACAAGAATTGTGCTAAAACTGATGGTTTGGTTATCCCTTGTAAGGGAAAACTCATTGATGAGTGAGGAAAGGTTTTGCAGATAAGCAGTGAGTTTTTTTGTACTACCACAGTGTTTACAGTGATACTGATGAATATATAATGGAAGATATTTCTTCTGTTTCAGGCTGATGTGTCCAGGGCTTATGATACCATTCCTCACAATAAGCTTGTGGAAGTGATTTCACGGATCCTAAACCCTGAGAAAAGAACCGTGTACTGCATACGGCGCTATGCTGTGATTATGATTACCACAAGTGGAAAAGCCAAGAGGTTCTATAGGAGACATGTATGACTTGCTGATTTCTTCTGTTTGCTGCTGTAGATATATTTCAGTCCAAGGAATATTTTTGTTTGTAGCTTTTTTTTTAAGTCACAATTTGAATTAGGCAATTACTTCATAAACCCCTTTTTTAATAGTGTTGGATATTTTCCAGAGTTAGCAAAGCTTCTTTTTACTCTGTACTTTTTACTTAACGTTAGTAAGAGTAAAGATGAATGTGTTGTGGAAATAGAGATACGTGAGGGAGATATTTCATTTTAACAATAGCAGAATTGTTGGATTAAAATAATGCAATCAGACTGGCCTTTTGACCTTCACTGAATAAAAGAGTCTGGTACTGAATTTTCTACTGCTTTTGTCATTTATTTCTTTACACTCAATATACAGGTTTCTACTTTCAAGGATTTTATGCCAGACATGAAGCAATTTGTGTCCCAGCTTCAGGAGAATGCCTCATTGCAAAATGCAATAATAGTTGAACAGGTAAATATGGGGAGGCTTCTTTTCAACTGCAAAAGAAAGCTACAGAAGAATTGGAGGAAGATTGGAATTTTTAATTGAATGTACATAATATGTGGTGACACCGCCTCTTTTCTAGTTACCCAGCACCTTCCATAGAAAGTTTTTTGTCATCTCCTCTTTGTTGTTTATAACAGGCTGTTAGTGTTCAGTGGAGGAAATGCAGCAGGCAAGAAATCTGACAAAATGTCCTGCTAGACTTTTTCCAGATTTTCTCATTGTTGTCTCAAGCTTTCATTTTAACCAGTGTTTTCTTTTTCCTTTCCTAATTCCATTGTTTGTTGCAACAGGTCTCAAGTGAGAAATTAACTGTCTAGTAAAGAAGGGCTTCAACCTGCCAAGGTTGATAAGAATGAGCTCTTCTTTAGAGTTAAAATGCAACACAAAACAAGAGCAACTCCTGTATTTTTTTGTTTAAAGAGATTTCTCACTTTCAGTAAATTAAAGTATGGTTAAAAATGATACGTATTTTAAATATACTCCAGCTGATGCTTTGTTACAAGAAGCAAGCATGCTTGTGTTCTTTTAATTCTTGTGCTGCAGAGAACTGTGCTAATTCCAAATGTTTGTTCTCAAGGCTTCCTTCTGTACAAGGAGCATGACAGAGAAAGGCATTAGAAGTAGGTGGTATGCTCACATCACTTTCTTAATACATTGTATTGCTTAGCATCATGGTCTTCCATGATAACAACCTACAACATTCCTGAGCATCAGATGATCAGACAGGTATTTTTTCATACGCTACTTTCTCTTGAAAAATTTTTTTTTCTAAACTTGTCAGTGGAAAATTTTGATGTAGGATAATCTATGCTTCTAACATGCAAGTAAAATGATCTTGTATATCTGTGGACATAGGAGTAGACTATACAGTGTGGGTGGTGCACAATTCCAGGATCCTACAAGGTGCAGAGAGCCTAACGAGTACATGGATGAAAATGAAAACTAGCTGGATCTCTGATGATGTGTGTGTAGGGTTTTGTTTTGTTGTTTTTTCCAGTGCACAGCTGATTTTGGTAACTATGCTAGATATTACATGAACAGCAGCATTCTATTTCAAAGTATTTTACATTTGAAAATGATTTGTGTGTGCGTGTGTGTCATTACTTTAAAAAAAAAAAAAGTACTCTGAGAAAAGTATCATGTCAGCCTAGTTGTCTGTACCACAGGTGCATCGCATTAGGTTTTCATTACAAATAACCGTGGTCTCACATGGCTCTATCAAAAGCTGGGTGCATTTGTCTGATGTCTAATCTATGCAGGTGGGAAGTAATTTTGCTTTATTTCTCATGGAGTCATTGTTGAAGGAATTTAAATAGCTCTAAATGATTTTTTTATTACACAATTTTTAACGAAAAGCTTCATAAATATTGGGTGGACAGTCACGCATGGAATCGTTGGTAATACGTGGCAAAGAAGGTGTTCTGCAGCAGAACTGGCAAGTGAGCGTATCTATACTTGCGGAATCTTAAAGAACATGACAGTTACAGAAATTGCCCTACAGGATAGAAAGTGTCCAAAAGAGCAAGGCCTCATACATCATAATAATCCAACATAATATACCTACCACTTTAAAAAGTGGGTTTAGATGTTATATTTGACTATTTTCCCATGTAACGCCAATCAAGACTGTTTTTCTCCTAAAGCAAAACAAAAAAAGGAACTGCACCATTTACTTGTTGGATGTGAGCAGCTTTTTAGCATGTATATTCAGATCTTGGTTTTAGGTGTTTTTTTTCTTACCTTAGGGGGTTGAACTACTAGTCTTAACTTTTCATAAAGGTTTCTGTGTATCTTTTAAGTTTATACTGTATTTTTAGTTTCAGTACATTTCTGAAGTACAAATCTTGTTTTGTTTTGTCCCATTTCTAGAGCTTAACTTTTAATGAGACAAGTTCCAGCCTGTTTACTTTTTTTCTTCAAATGATACAAAACAACATCCTGGAGATTGGGAGCAGGTAAAAAAGAAGTTCATTTTTCTTTGTATAGCTTGTTTGGTTTTTTTGGTTAGTGGTTTTTTTCTGTTAAGCAGGATACTTTTAATTGGCTCAAGGGATTTTTGATAACTGCCTTTTAGAGATTTTTATTTCATGTTAATTTGAAATCTGTTTATCAGTTTAAGATCCGTAAAAGCATGAAGAGTTTGATATCAGATTTATGTCGAATAAAATCTCTCTTTCCCATCTAGATGATGTTAAATATACACACAATGCATTATTCTGTGAATATGTAACCTTATTCCTTTGAAAGCGCAGATGTAGAGCAAAAAAAACCAACTTTAAAATGTTGGGATCCATAGTGGTGAACAAAAGCAAGGTGACATCCAAGCAATCATGTAAAAGCCTTGTTAGTCTTTCCTCCATAGTGCAAAATTAAACCTTTTCTGCATGGCCTTGCTATTTGGCAAGTTACAATAAAAATAAAAGGCAATAAAATAAAAGTTAAAATTACTGGCAACTCCAAAATTAGGAATCAGATGTTATAGAGAGTAGTAAAGCAGATTTCTTCTTGTGTTGCTAGAGATACTGATCTGGTACTTAATGTTTTGCCTCTAGGTGGCAAATGTGTATCAGGTCTGAAAAGGAAGTACTTGCATGATCTTTATTTGTAAATTCAGAGTGAGGTATATTAGAATGAATAGCTTCTTGCTCTGAAAAAATACCTTTATTTAGAATACTTAATCTCACAGAATTGAGAATGAGGGAGAAAAGCTTTCAAGGAGGCAAATAGAAGAGCGTTTATAGGTTTTTCTGGCATTGATGCTTACACTCCCTTTGGCAGGATCGTGAGAATGCTGACGTGGCATGCCGTTAATAAGGACTGACCAACATCAGTATGTTTAATAAAAGTTTAATGTTTTTAAAGAAAGCACACCCTGACAAAGCCAACCTCACATTTACTTAAATTCAGTCACAGCTTAGCTGAAAAAATGCTGTTTGTCCTGGAATGAATTTGCCCTTTTTAAGTAGCTCATTCTCATTTGCAGTTTTGGGTGGGTTTTTTGGAACAAATAAGTTTAGTAAATGAATACACTCTTTACCTGATGGTTCTCAAAAAGCCACCACAGTTAGTTATTATTCACTTGATGTTTTGAGAAAAATGCTGATTGTTGAGTTGGGGACCTAGAAGGAATCTTTTAATACCATTTGATAGATTTATCAAAAGCCTGGAAAAATGTAAAATTACTACTAGAAAAATTTGCACAGGACTCAAAACATAGCTAAGTTCACTGCTAGAATGTAGTATGTGGCTCTGGTGTGCAGTTGCATAATTTCATTCTCTTCAGTTTCACTAAGCCATTCATGTAGTAATAGTAAAATGGACATTATAATATAATATCTCACTACTTCAAAGGAGTGTTGTGAAAATAATTCCCTTGGGTTTTGTGAGGCACACTCATTCTGTTGCTGCCAGCATGGAAAAATCCACAAGGTAATGGGGAACTCTGTCTTCAGTAGCTTATCTATATTTGATACATTACTATTACTATGTGTGGTTTTACTGGCTTTATACAAGGAACAGTATAGGGGAAGTATTAATGCACCTACCCTTGGCTGTGTCTATATGAGTTATCTGAAGCCACGAGAAACAAATCAAGATTTACTCTTCTGCAAAATGACAACTGACAGCTTCAGTGAACTTTTCAAGCGGGGGGTGGGGGGAGGCTGAGTATAATTACAAATAGTAAGGGTTAGCATTTCACAGGAGGTAGTGGTTTTTCCTGATTAGAAGTAAGATAGCTTCATGCCTGAGCTGTTAAATGAGGAAATAAATGTGTTTAACAGTACAGCTGGGATGTATAAAACCAGATCACACGCTCTATTGAGCTAAGCCATCAGAAATTTCCCTAAAATTAAAGTGATATTTATTTGTGGGGGAAAAAAACCCCCACCAAACCAACCAAACAGAAAAAAAACCCAAAAAACAGAAACCCAAGAAAATATTTTCCTTGGCCAGATCATGCTGTGCAAGTATAAACAAAGAATAAACACCTCAATAATAATTTAAAATAAATAAATTATAGTTTGAAAGATTTGTCCAGTGCACTTTGTTTCTTGTACAAGAACACTTGTTTTGAATCTATGCAAGATGTAACATAAAGAATTACAAAGCTTAAATGAAGGGTGGCTCCGCAGCTGAAGGAGGAAGGAGGCATTGTGGTTTGAGATCAGTTTTAAAATTTCTTTCATTTAATGACAGTTGTCTACTGGAGTTTGATAATAAGAAAGGAATAAGTGTATTAGTGGTTTTTTTCACTGTTTAACTTAAAACTTCTGGAGCCATATGTAGATTTCAGAGGAAAGAACAAATTTAAGTAAGGCTAACTAGCAGGCATGTAGCATATTTCTCATTGAAACGCATACATTATACTTGGGGAAAAAAAAGGTAAATTTTTAATGGCTATTGCAGTCTTCTTGCTGCATGTTTTGATTTTTTTTTTTTTTCTTTTATTCTTTACTAGGTACTACTTACAGTGCTGTGGAATTCCACAGGGCTCCATTTTGTCAACCTTACTTTGCAGCTTATGCTATGGAGACATGGAAAACAAATTGCTCTGTGGAGTACAGCAGGATGGGTAGGGATGTTTTGTTCTGTGCTCTGTTACAGTAGTGCATAATATAGGGTATATGTGTTAGACATTTTCTCTGAAGTTTAATTTTGAATTTCAAGGATTTCCCACTCTCCATTAGGAGTGTGGTGCACACAAACATCTCTGCAGCTTCAGTGTCACCGTGGTTGTTTTGTGGGGGAATTTCCCTGTTTGTGATAAGATTGGAACGACAAGCACTTAAATGAAGCTTTCCCAGATCTGTGGGTAGGCGACTTGCTCTTACAAAGAGCACAGTATTTAGAGATGCTGTAGAGAGCCTGACAAGCTCTTCTTGTACATCTAGGAAGTTTATGGTTCTCCCACACTCATTCCCACAACATCTGTGGTCTTCTGTCCTCAGACAAGATAGGATGTTCATTACAGGCTTTCTGATATTCCAGGTTTCTGCCTGAGGGTTTTCCAATCCACTGTCTGTAAGTCTTAACTTTTTATCAAGGTGACAGCTTTATTGCAGATTTTTTACAAGGCATAAGGCATGCTGGTTCTTGTTTGAAGCCCTGTGTGGCTCTTGGTACATCTTCTAAGTCTTTGTGCTCTGCTTGTGCTTGCTGCTTAGGAACTTGACAGAAAACTCACCTGATAAAAGCTCTACCTCTTTATTAGTTGTGAATACTTTGGGGTTCCTTTTAGCTCCATATGAACTGATCCCCAGGTGAATCCCAGATTAGGGTCTTCAGGCATGAGCTGGACCCTGAAGCTTGTCTGTGTTCACACATCTCCCTCCACTGCTATGAATTCTGTCCTAAGAAAGAAAAAAGAAACTAAGAAGTGTGTAGGAGGACTCGGGATAAGGGTATCTGTCTGGTGTCTCTTCTTGGGAGGCTCACTGGTTAATGGAAAGTCTTAGAATTTTAAACATTTCTCTACACAAGTAGTAGGGTTCTTCTCATAGACTTTAGGATGCTGTGATGATATGAGTCTAAACAGCTATATTTTGCTTTTAAAGGATGTTGCTTATACATACTGAAATTATGAAAGTGATTCAGAAGAATGCACTCTTTAATATAGCAGCTGTTTTTATATAGAGGAGATTTTAGAATGTTACTTAGGTGTCTGTTGAATGATTTTGATAGTTTCATTTGACCTTTAAGTCAAAAAAATAACCTGGCTATTGACTTGGCTAGGCAAAAGTGCAGCTGATCTGATCATAGTGATGGCAATACTCCTGCTTTGAAGAGGAGACTGGACGAGATCATCTTCAGAGCTTCCTCTCTATGATCTACTAGGCAGGATTTATCAGAAAAATAAGGGCATGCGTGGGGCCTGAATTCTGTTGAAAAAGAAAATTCCAGCCTTTAGAGTGGTAGGTGGTGGTGTGTTTTACATTCAAGTTATAGCTTCACAAACAAGCTACTACATGGTAAACAAAGATACAGAGTTAGAGCACATCAAGAATCTGGTATCTGCTTGTGTACCTGGTATTACACTTCCTTTCCTTGTCTTGTAGATTAAGATACTGCAAATTCTCCCTTGGAAAAGTGTAAAACCCTGCATCCAAGAAGCTGCTATGGAGTAGCTTGGGGGCTGTAAATTCCTGTCATGTTTTGTGTAGCCAGCCCCTTTGCTTTCTTCTTTTCTTTTCTTTTTTTTTCATTTATTTTTAGGAAAGAAGCAGAACTGAGAATTTCTTTGTAAGACTCAATTTGGAGATCATATGGCCTCTACCTTCTTGTGAATTAAAATGGGCATGTTGTTGCTCTGAAGAGTATGACAAAAATTTGAAAGGATTACATATAAAATAAATCTAACAGTTTCTTCTTGATTACAGAGTCCTAATACGTCTCATTGATGACTTTTTGCTGGTTACGCCACATTTAAAGCAGGCAAGAACTTTTCTAAGGTATGCTATTAAAGACATAGTCTTCAAAGTAATAATCATTAACAACTTCTAGGTCATTCTTTTTCATCTTTATACATGCTTGTACATATAGGTGTATTTGTTTTATGGGTTAATAATCAAGGGCTTTTTTGGAGTCCTTGCTGGTAGCCTGTGCCTGGGAAGAATCTTAATAGCTACATTCTTAATGGCCAACTAACAATCTGTTGCAGCTCAGATGGTGGGGGATTCCTGCTGAAGTTTAGTTAGGGACGTAGCTACTGACCTTGATGGAGCTTCTAGCAGCAGTTAGTAGTGCAGACTAACCAAAGCAGCTGACATTGTCTTTTAAGACAATTTTCCCTCAATTTTTTAAGATGTCTTAGTGACATTCTTAAAATATATTTGTCAGGCAGGCATGCTGCTACCTTCTATTCGCAAGGAAAGAATGGAACTTTTCTCTGACACAATATTGCAAAGAATTTTCTGGTCATTAATATTCTGGGGTGAGTGTTTGAGGATACTGATAGCATGGCAGCACGCAGCTCACAGAAGTTTTCAAACAGTAATTCTTTAGAGTGCTTCAGAACTACCTTTTTTTTAAAATTGGCCCCCAAAAAAGGTTCCTGGTTACCATGGGTATGAATGTACAGTCAGTATCCAAGAAGTTCTGCTGATGCCAAAGCCAGTTTTAAGGATCCAAAAGAGAGATCTTGAAGAAAAGCTTAGCATTTGCAATGCAGTCAGTTGCATCGTGCTTTTCAATAGTCAGAAAAATGCAGCTCTGAAAGGTCATGGGGAAATCAATTAAGTACAGTTTGAAGTGTAAATTGTACTAATTAGTGGATAGTGTACTTTGAAGACTTCATTTGTCCTCATTTCCTTATCAGAACAGAAAGAAATTTCTAGGGATATGGAGATTTACTGGAAATGGTAAGTTGAACTAAGAGGCTGGGGATTCCTCGAGCTATTAATCTCTGTAACATCTTTTCAGCATAATGTCACTTGAAGTAGCATTGCAGATACTGTCCTACTTGCCCTTTGAACTTATCTGCATCTTTATTTTATATCAATTTCTGCACCAGCTGTGTTGATTTTCTGTAGAGAAGTAGCCTCTTCTGTGCAAGTTTTCCAGAACTGCTTACAGATCCTATGAACTCTCTGCCACAAATGGAGCAGTAACAGTGTTTTCTAATGTAGTATTAGAACTGGCGGACTCAAGAAATTAATTTTGAGGAGACAGCGTTATGACTATTAGTCCCCAACAAGAAGAGCCTACCTCTTCTTTTCACTCTTCAAAAGGATGAAGTGTGCACATGAATACATCGCCAAGTAAGACAAACTGCTGCTTATCCATGAGATGGCGCTGCTGATCCCATGTGCAGTAGGTAATCAGCAGGCATTCTGGCAATGAAAACATCCTTAGGGAAAACTGTGGAGAAAGTTCAAAACTTTTCATCAGATAAATGAGGTTCCTGTTATGTGGATTCTCCTTGTTTTTATTAACTTTCAAAAGCAATAAGTCTTCATCTGTGTTTTTCCAGTGATTTTGGTCTCAATGGTTTCTGTGAGTGTGGTTTATGTAGCTTGTCTCAAATGTTTCATGGCTTAAGTTCCTAAGTTTTACAGATTAATGCAAATTTTTCTCCATTATCCTCATATCCTTAAGCTTATATATTTTATGTATTTATCTGTAATATCTTCAGTTTTGTTTATTTCTAGCTGTGTTCCTTAACCTAAAGAGTTGGCCATGATTCCCTTTATTCTTTGGTTTCTGTCCTTTGATGCAAGATCATATGACTCTTGCAGCATGGTGGGCTTTTTTATTTGCTTTTGCAGTGGGAGTTAGGCTAACTGTTTATATCTGTTTTAGGACTCTAGCAACAGGTATTCCTGAGTATGGCTTTTTAATAAACCCCAATAAGACAGTCGTGAATTTTCCTGTTGATGATATCCCAGGATGTTCCAAATTTAAACAGCTGCCAGATTGTCGTTTGATCCCGTGGTGTGGTTTATTATTAGATATACAGACACTTGAGGTTTACTGCGATTACTCCAGGTAAATAGTTGTATACTCCAGTGTCAGCTTTACAGTATATTGTACATAGTGTGGGAAGCACAAGGGTGTCTTGTGAACGGTGTAGTTGAATTAACTGCAAAATAGATTTTACAATTCTGTTTCTTATGAAGTAATCTAAACATTCTATTCTGCCGTGGAGCCTGCTATTTTCTTCATTCCATTCTGGTGGAATGTACATACCACTAACACCATTGAATGTGGCACAGATCACTGGTGACCAGAAGTCATATACCGTATGGTGGCTAAATGGTTCTGAGAAGGTTTATTCAGTCACCTCAGTTCAGCTTCTTTCACCATTATGCACTATATTGTACCTGATATCATATAACTACATTTATTGTTCTGAAATTGTTTTTTTTTTTTGTACCTTCCTAAAAGAAGCAGTAAGGATTACATGAACAGATTGGGATTAATTTTGTATAGACTAGAGGGACTAGTAATTCTTTCAACATCAGAGGTGTTCCCTCTGGTATACTTCAGATAGTAGTGTAGGGGAGAAGTAACCTGTCTTTAAGGTAGCAGCCTTGACTGTTTACACAAAGCAGTCTGAAGTGGCATAGAACTCAGGATGGGACAATATATCCTACTGAATAGCTCTGTAGACCCTTTACATGGTCTGCTAGAGATGGCATTAGACTTAACAAGAAAGAACTGTTTAAACTGAAGGATAATATTGCTGTGTTATTGACCATATTTAGTATAAACAGCCCATGCATACATTTAAGTGGGAAATCAGGAGGAGGTTTTCCATCACCAGAGTGGTGGTGTTCTTCAGTAGTCTTCCAAACCAGAAAAGCTTGGTCAGTTTAGGAAAGGAATTTATATGACATGATTTTCTGTAACAACAGAGGACTAAAATCAACAGCCACAGAGATTTATTCACTAGCTGTGTTTCTAAAAGAAGCAGTTAACACGGATGAGGGCATTGGTGCTGCCGGTCTGGGAGACACTCATCAGAATCCTGAGGGTGTTTGTTACAAGGCTGCCTTGCTGTTGATGAGCTTGACTTAAGTAACTGGAATGCTAGGGTGAACTGAGGTGGCATCCAGCCTAAGCTCCTGCGTTGCATGGATCACAATGTATAGCCTGGTTGTCACTGGAGTCATTAATAATGGCCTGGCTAGACCATGTGTTTTAGAAATATATCTAGTTTGTTTAAGGTTATTGGTTTGGTTCTTTTAGCAGGGTGAATTATTCAGCCCTGGGGTATTGAAGTCGTTCCTTAGCTAATAGCCTTAATGCCACAATGTCTAGTCTTTCTCTAAATTGAATTTAGTTATAGTAATCTTGTAGCTACTGGCTCATTGATTAGCAGGCAATCTCTGCAACATGAGAAGTTAAATGAGGCTTACTTTACAGAGGTTAATTTAGTCTATTAGCCCATGGAGTTTGTTTAACTACTTTTTTTTTCTTCTTTTTTTTCTAGTTATACCTGTACTTCCATCAGATCAAGTCTTTCCTTCAATTCAAGTAGAACAGCTGGGAAAAACATGAAATACAAATTGATTACAGTCCTGAAACTGAAATGTCATTGTTTATTTCTTGATTTACAGGTGAGAATATGGACAGAGATGTTTGGAAATACTGTGATTAGTGATACAGACCATTAAAACAGCCTTGAGTTCTAACATAAAGAGTTGATTTTGAGAGGTAATCCACATTACTTGGAAATGTTGACATCAGCTAAAATGTGGGGTCTTACCACCTTCCAGAACTGAGCCTTCACAACATTGTTAACTTGGGCACATAAAAGAAATCTTCAAAGTTAGCACAAATTTTTTTCTCTAGATCTCTAAATCATCTTATGCTCTTGAACTTGAACAAATCCTATCGTGACACTAAAATATTCCTATAGCTCTGTTTCTGTTCTGTTCTAGATCAACAGCCTTAGAACAGTTTTCATTAACATCTACAAGATATTTTTACTTCAGGCTTACAGGTAGGTCACTGTCTTCCACAGTAACTGAATATTTCATTACTCTTTCTTGACACATGGAGGAGCTATGGATTAGGAAGAAGTGCGCCATATAAATGTGCAGTGGTAAATGTCAGTAGTAGGTCAAGTTATTCTTGTTTCAACACTGTTCTTACGTAATATTATTAGATTCAGGATACAGGATTATATTGATATGTGTGTTTAAGTGACACTTCACTAAATGGATTTTCAGTGTCTCTTGGTATTGACAGCTGACCTCAAGAAAAACAGTCTGTTTTGCTTCAGGAGGATGACGAGAAGCCTTATCACTCGTTAACCAGTTAATATTTAGAACTTTGTATCTATTAAAATCATATAGAACTTTGACCTGTATAACTTTATGTTAAGTGAGGTTTCATTCTGCCAAGTTAATTGCAGTTTCTTAGCTGCTGATAATGTCTTAATTGCTCCTTAGCTGGTAATACCTTGGGTTTTGTGAGCTCTTCTTGACCAGCAGAGGAAGTGAATGTTTTCAACAGTGATAAGGGAAAGAAATCAAAACTGATAAGCAAGTTGGGAGAAAATACTAATCTCTGTGCATCGAAAACTTCAAATGATTGGCAGCACCAAGTAATTGTTTATTGCTTTAATGCAAAAAATGTCTAAGAGGTGCTTCCCTCTTTATAGAAATCAGGTGTTGCTCTTTTGCTAGGCTCATACTTGTTAGGAAATGGCATTTTGGTTTTGTTCTTCAATTCAGCTTGGTCCACATTTACCCTGTACTTTTCTTGTGTCCAGGAAGTGTAATTGGACTTGTTTAGTACAGCACTGATGTGTCAAACTCTTAAACTTTGTGTTGTGAGTGACTTACAGTTTTTCTCTGATGTTGGACATGATTAGTTAGTTACTTCTGTTTGCTTTTATTGTAACACTCTAACAAAGGTCTTTATGTTAGAGTACCTTTAAAAAACTGTCCACCATGCTAACAGTATGTCAGGTTAATTCAGCCAGAGCACTGTGATGCAGTGTGGTAATTATGTTTATGCTTTAAATATTTTAAAATTTCAAAATTTCTTGAAGTGATTACACTTATGCTGTGTTAATTTAATAAACAAGTGTATACATTGTTGAGTAAGTAAAAATCAGCATTGTAGTTGTTGACTGTGTTCAGCATAAGCAAGATTATAGTGCCAGAGGCTGAAGAAAAAAAAAAAGGAGAGAGGAAAAAAAAAAAAAAGCCAGCAGTTTTAAAATACGTCCAAATAAGAGGAGTAAGGGAGCGTACAATACAAGTAATTTCCATAGAATTGGCTTCCAAATAGACAAAAGAGTGGGGATCCTGGTCTGTGGAACACTACATCATTTGGAGGTCTGTTTTCCTGAACTTCTGAACAGAATTTGTTGTGGGGTTTTGTTTTTTCTTCCTCTCACACTCTCTCTTGTGGGTGTTCTCTGGCTGCATGGTCCATGATATGGAATTGCTAAGCATGTGTAATTTAACTTTCCCTACACATAAAACGGTCATTCTCAGAAGAGAATTCTATTACCAAGGCAGATGGCTTCAAGATCTTTCAACAGAAAATTTACAAACAAACTTCATATGTGTCTGATGCTCCAGGGATTTGTATATATAGGAGAGGTGTTGTATGCTAGCAGTGTTGATATAGCTAAAGACTGTTGGGTGCTTTTAAATGTTGTAATACTGCCTAAGGTATGTAATAGTTTCACTTGAAGTTGCAAATGACTTGTGATTAAATAGGCTGGTTTTGTGAACAGGTTCCACGCCTGTGTTCTCCAACTTCCATTCAACCAGAAAGTTAGAAACAATCCTTATTTCTTCCTAAGGATCATCTCTGAGACTGCATCATGCTGCTATGCTATCCTGAAAGCAAAAAACACCGGTATAGTATGTTAATGGCTATGAAGTAGCATGTTTGGGTTTGGTTGGTTTTTTGTTTTTTTTTTAGACAAATAAAACATCTTGAATGTGCAGTCAGATCGTGTAATTTTGAGATAAAGATCAAGAATGAAAAATAGGGAGTGCATGATAGGAATCACTGTGGGTTTTTTTCTTAAACTCAATTTGCTGAAGATAAAATGTTTCAGGTTTTAGTTTTTAGTTCTCTGCTGACATAGGAGACTTCATTGACTACATAGGTTTTTAGTAAAAAAAAATTTTGGAGTGATTTTGTAGAAAGAGAGGAGAGGTCAGACATGCTTCTTAATGCTCATCATTTTCAGTGACATTATTTTCCTGTTCTGTCTCTAGGCGTTGCTTTAGGTAACAAAGGTGCATCTGGTGTGTTCCCTTCTGAGGCAGCAGAATGGCTCTGCTACCATGCCTTCACTGTCAAACTGTCAAACCACAAAGTTGTTTACAAATGCCTGCTTAAGCCCCTAAAAATCTGTAAGTACTCGATTATTTTTACAGTTTGAAATATGGTTAATTGTAATAAAACTTGGAATCTAATGGATTTTTTTAAGTTTTCTTATCATAAAATGTTCTAAGATGTACACTAATGAGCTTTCTGATTTTAATCAAATTTACTAAGTATAAGTAGACAAATTAAAATGGTATGTTTTTCAGCACTGTGTGTTCTAGAGTCTTGTTCTTATGGGACAGTTGTTGATACTTGGCACTCAGTAAGTTTGTACAGTTCAGAAAGCTTAGTAAGATTGGGTTAATCATGTAAGCATTCTCAGCAAGTTTACTAAATGAAATATGAATGCTCAGTTTTCTATTTTTAAAAATGTAGATTAACTGGCAACTAAGTTAGTTCCTCCTGCAATATAAACTCTTACCAAAAAAAGTGTCACCGTGGTCACTTTGAAACAGAAGCACTTGCTGTGCTGCATGTGCTATATTGTAATAGAGTTGAGTGGTGTTGGCAAATCTTTGACTGTTACACTCGGTGAAAGAAGCTGTCTGTGTACCTGGCCTCTGGGGAGCTCTATCTTTGACTGGTTGTGCGGTCTGTCCCCAGGCCAGCCACAGCAATAATAGCATTTTCAGTTCTAAGATATTAAAAGTGAACAGCAGTAGGTTTTTCTGAAGCGGTCGGTACTGTTGTTGAATTTAGCTACAGTGAAGGCCAGACTCAACAGTGACTTGCTAATTCGTACTCTAAATGACTCATTACTTGCGCAGTTTCATTATGCAGTACTGAGAAATTCTTCAGTCTGGTTCCAGAATAACCCTTATTTGATTCGAAATGTATTGCAAGCTTCCCTTGATACCTGTGCTGAGGCCTAGTGCCCCAAAAAAGAAAGTGTCTCTGCTTTGGAAGTAAGTATTTCCTCCCATATCAAAGGCTTGCAGCAACGCCTGAGTGCAGTCTGATTTTTGGTGGTGCAGTGTGAATGTATCAAAGAAGACACTTAAACTTTTACAGGAAACAAACTGATGGTTGGGATTGCACCAGGCATGTTTCTGACAGCAATGGACTTTCTGTATGGAGCAGAACTCCAGCAGTCTCTCCCAGAGAAGCTCCTTCTCTCAGAGTTATTCAGTGACACCAAAACCAGAGGCACCATGTCTTATCACTGCTGCTGAGAAGCCAGTTCTGTTCAGCCCTTCTAGAAGTACCGGGGGAAGCAGACCTTCCTCTGGGAAGGGAAGAGATGGCTGTTTGCTTCACTTGGCGAGGACAGAAACTGAAGAACTGAGCAGAGAATGCAGTAGTCACACCCAGTAGGATAATAGCTTTGCTGGGAGCTGTGTCACTTCTCTGAGATCCATATAGAGCACATCCAAGTTTTCATCTCTAATGCTGAAGGTTTTGCTCTTGGCATCTTTGACTGGCAGATCACAATCCAAGCCAAAGTTCCCCCATCCTTGTCTGTGTATGCTTTGCTGTTGAATCTGACAGTACATTCAGGGTGGAGGTGCAGCCCCAGGCGCCTTTGTTGTCCAGCAGAATCTCATCTTCCATGGGTGTGTGCATCTGCCGTAAAAGTGGTCTCTGCTGTCCACAAAATTACACCACCACAGATACCAGGGAAAATGGGCTGGGAAGTAGAGGTAGAATTTTTCTATTTTGAATAATGATTGTTGTTAGGTTTCTTCTGCTGTACCTGTACAGCCCCTTGCCTAATCACAATACTGACCTGAAACTTGGTGTGTGGTCCACGTCTAACTCTGTATGCACAATTTCTAACCCAAGAAGGGAAAGCTGACCATCTATCAGTTGGCTTCTCTGACAGTGAGAATTGCACTTGCAGAAATGGAATAACCTCGCTTCCTAAATTCCTGGGAACTATTAATGTTCTACTTGCTGAGTATTGTGAGGGTGGAGCAGGAAAAGTCCGAAGGCAAGTAGAAAATTAGTAGTGAAGTTCTCTTGAGGAGTAGTTTCCAGCTATTGTTTCATAAATCGTACCCTCTCTGAGGCAGAATCTGTTCTTCACATCCATAATGTTAAGACAACTTTCTCTTTTTATCTACAAGGCCCAGTTTCCTTTGGAAATATTTGAAACTTCAAGTACACTGCTGAAAGATCAAGGGTTCAGATATTTTGCTAAATGGCTGCCTAAACAATTAGCAGGCTGTGACTTGTTTTTACCATGAAACTTTTAAGATGGAAGATTTTGCTGTGATTGATCAACAGATCACTGGGGCCCAAATAACTTGAATGCTGTCTCTGAGAGATCTCCATTTGCTTATAGCCCCCTGAAATCTTACCTGTACTTCCACTAGGCCTGTTCCACCTGTGCTGCAAGGGTTGATACAGTACTTGGTGGAGCACTTCTATAGTTGCTGTTTTTATGAAAAGCTCCCAAAACATCTACTAGGTAATTTGGCAGGAGGGTAGCTGTTTGGGGTCAGCTTGTCATGCAGCTTGAATGCTTGAGAGGTGCTTTGACTGACTGTATATTTGTTTCCCACCTGCCTTCCTCCTTCCTTTAAGAGTTGGTCGAGGTTTTAAAAATAATTTCAAACTGTTCTTGAAAAGGAACTGAGAAGGCACCAGATGTCCCACCTACGGGCTGAGCAGGAGGGAAGGTGAGGCATCAGTGTGTTGGTACTGTAAAGCTGTACAAAGGCATCTTGTGATCTGTAGTGATAAGTCATACGCATACCCTTAACGTGAACGTGCATCATTATCTCCATGTCTCCAAGATCTCTGGTCATAGATGAAGGCTATTTTTCAGTCACCTGATCATACATGGTATTTATATTTGTATTTTCTTCCAAATTTAGTAAGATACTAAGTCTTCCAATCTTGTAGGAATGCACTAAAATCTATTTAAAGAGACATTGATAGATAGTTTTCTATTCAGTCTTATAAGTTAGTTTTGTTTGGCATGCATCAGACTTATTAATGGGTAATGTTGTTGTAATCAGAACATTATGCTGTAGGGTGGGTTACTACATAGCTGAGCATTATATAGAGATGTCGGAGCTAATTTTAAACACCGTATTTTAAGTTTTGTCTTACTTCTGGAAATCAGGTAGCATTTGTGGGTGTCAGAGTAGCTGTGACAGGGAAGTAACTGGTTCTCAGGTGTATTCCCTGTAAAGTTAGCTCAGTATCTTTATATGGCACAGCAATCTGTAGCACAGAGATAACCAAGGCTGGTAATAGCACCTGTGTTGACTTAACTACACTTTTTGTTGTCATTTTGGAGTTTGTATCAGCTATATAAAACCTATTACCCTTGTAAGATCATGTTGTTGACAGGAATTGATATAATCTTAATTTTTTTTCTTGTGTCCCTGCACATGCCTTTCCATTACTCTCCATGGGAGAGGTTTTGGGGAGGAGGTTCTTCCCAGTATTCCAAAACCTGCTAAATATCAATATTAGGGGCTTGTCGGTACAAGTTGTCGTCATTCTTCAGAGTTAAGTATTTAAAACATAGTTACTGTTTAACATCCCTCCTATTATTACCAGTGGGGAAAGGAGCAAGAATCTTTCCTTATCATGATAAGATATCATCTTATATATTTATATATATATAAATACCTCATCTGTCTCCTTTCCAAATACAGAACAAATGTTTATTGAGCACTTCTGCCTTTCTGCACCATTGACAATTTTGCGAACTCTGTTTAGGTAATGGACTTAAACTGTTGCTAGGATTCTGCATGTTCTTCCTAATCTCTAAAAAGTCCTTTTTGTTGTCTGTAATTCTGTTGACTATAGACTCAGTGACCTTCTGTGTTTCAAAACTGTTATGTCCTCTTATAAAAATTTCATTCCTGATTTAAGAACCTTGTTTAGTTTCCAAAATTTTCCACCTTAAGGGTGGCTTTCCAGTTAGTCTCTGTTCTCTTACAGAGAAACACAGCGGGGAGAATTGCTGTTGCCAGTGTTATAGCAAAAGGTGCATTTTCCACGTGATTTTTTTTTTTTTTTAATCTTTTTGTATATGTCAGTTCCAAGCATAGGCTACTTTAATGTCATATCTGAAAGTAGAGGAGAAAAGAAACAGTTTGGGAATACCTTCCTGCTGTAGGTAAACGTTAGCAACCAGATAAGGACCTGTCCCTTGTCCTTAGTGTTATTTAAAATATGGTCTTTCAAAGTAACTATGGCTTGACAGAAGGCCTTTTTTGGTGGATCAAGTTATTGAATCAATGGTCTTATACTTTTAAAAAAAATTTTAAAATTCTTCAACCCAAACAGAGAAGTGTTACAAGGACATAATAGGACAAATTTGCTCCTTGGTTATCTTAGTTTGTTGGTATTTTAACATATGATTTTTAACCTTTTTATTTATTAGACTGATTTAAGGGCCGAAGAATAGTAGCATATTTTATTATAGCTTTTTTAATCTCCATATTCCAGGTGTTCCAACTTTTTAATTGGATTCAGCTAGTATTGATTTCATTACTTTATTAGCATTTTCCCTAAAACAGAATAGTTAGTTACTTGCAGTAGTAATGAATTGTTTCTCATATTTTGGTAGGTAAGATGCAGCTATTCAGGAAGATCCCCAAGGATACCATGGCACTGCTGAAGACAGTGACAGAACCGTCTCTTTGTCAAGATTTCAAAGCTATCCTGGACTGACTGATTGAAGTTTATTTTGTAATTTTTCCAGGTTTGAAAATAAATGCTATGTCTTTAGATGACTTTTCTCTGTAGTTTATTTTGGTAGAGTGGACTGAAAACAACTTCACTCTGAAGTTTTCCATGTTTGTTTCTCAGATACTACACAAGGACTTAAAAAGAGCAGACAATTTTGTTAATACCTTCTTGTTGGTGTTTGCCTTTAAATTCACAGGCTATTTGAAGTAACTGACTTGGTTTCGTTCAGTAATTCCCATCTTTTTGATGAAGGCATCATTAAGCTATGTTCTGTATGAACAGATCTACTTCCTTGTTTCAGTGTGTTGTTTCAGAAGAGCTGTTCTTTGCTTCTCTGTGCTGCAGACTATTTTATAATAAATTGTCTGGTTAATTGCAATAACATGTACTTGTCTCCAATACCTTTATTTTATAGTAATCTTTAACATCCTGCCCAGCTGGGTTATGTCCTGAAGATTACCTGCACAGGGCAAGTGCATTTCATGGCACTATCTAGCAAGACGTACAGGTCAGAAATTTTATGCTTTGGAGAACACAACTAATATATGCCAAAATTTAAGCATCAAAGCTGGTTATGTTTAGTGTATGTTTCATATATTTTGAATACTTGGTGATATTTTCAATACAGTGATGTACAGAACGATGGTGGTGCTTTTATACCTACAAAACAGAAGTTCTTGATTAGATAATATACCAAGTAGATGACTCTTCTGTTTGTATTTCCTGTTCTTTATTTAGGTTTATCTTTAGCTCTGTAATGTTACTGAAGTACTGTCTAGCCCTGGTGTTGGTGTGTTGTGCACAGCTGAATTTTGTCCTGTGGGTGCTCTAATAAACCTGCCTGTATGTTGGGGTTTTCTTCTCTTCCAGGCTTGTGTGTTGAATTTGCATTGCTCTAATGTAGACCTATTTTATTAGGATTTTTCTGTCTCTATTATAGGCTAAATAGCAGCTGCTGGGAGGTTTTGTCAAAGCAGATGGAGGATATCTTGCTGGAGTGAAACACTGTAGGCAGTGTTACTCAGTAGATGTTTTCAAAGGATTGACAGACCACCACCATGCAGGGATTGGTAACACAGCTCCTAGAAGCCAATTTGCCGTATTGCAGTCTTTCCATTAACATCATAACTCAGTTCAAACTGTCAAAATGTACAGTGTCAGTCATACAGTTGTGGTTTGGGTTTTTTTCTTTCTGTGAAGTGGCACTGTTAAAAATAAAATTAAAAAAAGCCATAGAATAACTGCTCCTATGAGAGTAGAGAGCAGATGAAGAACAGCACCGTTGCTCCCCGGCCAGCAGCTCAAACATTTAAACCCCCCCATCCTCCACAATGTTCTGCAGTGATATTGGCATGAGGGAACACCATCATGGACAACGTCACATAAGAGATGCCTGGCGGTGCAGGAAGCTTTATTTTTTTGGATCATGTGGCAGGAAGAGGCAGTGAGGTGCTCCAGCGAGGGCCTCCGCAGGGACGAGACTTGAGCACTTGGAGAATTTCCTACACTTCGCTGGAGCTGTTCCTACCTGTGGCCGTTCCCCCCTTACATTCAGCTGTGCGTTCCTTCCTGCCTGCTTCTCTTCCCCTCTCTGGCTGTAGTAGGTGTGGGTGACACAAATTTTGACTATTCACCACTTACTGCACAGGCCCTGTGCATTTTGTGTGTCATGTTGAAGAAGCACCATGTGCTGGTGGGCAGCAGCAGGGGTGAATGTGTGCTCGCTTTGTCCTGGTCACTGTGTTCTGCATGAACCTTCAGAGAAGGTTGAAGCAGAGGAGTCGAATCATTTCCTGAGAGCTAACGAGCATGCCTGTTCTGAAGGAACAGTCTGGAATAGGGGCTGGGCAGCCTGAAAGGATACCTCATCAGCCAGGATCCAACAACACAAATCCATATGGGGAGGATGGGGCCCTGGGAAAAGCAGGGAGCCTTTCTGCAGTGAACAGCTGTGCCAAGGCAAACTTGGAAGGTGTTCAAAAGAGTGTCCTGGATAAGTGGGGTAGATAACTGGAGCAAGACCTGTGATGAATTGGTCAATGTTTCAGAAAGCGTTGCAGATATGTGGGCTTGGGAGGACTAGAAGAAAACCTTTCTGCTCCCATCCAGGAACAAGGTAGTTATGGATATGTTTGCTTCTAAGCATTTGAACTTAGATTTTTCCATGTGAGCCAAAACATGTTTTATTTTATAAGTTTTAACATTAAAGACAGAAGTTTTTAATGTCATTCAGAATGCTCCCTTCTGGAAAAGGATGGGGCTGTTTCCACCTTAAGGCTTAGAACAACGGGTCTTATTTCCAGCATCGTCACTGCTTTATGTGGCTTCCACAGGATGGTGTAACGTGGAGAATGGAGGGAATGTAAACGTCACTGATAGCTTGGATTAGCCCATTTTTGCTCTGTATCACAACAGATACTGTGATAATATAAACTGCCAATGTGGTCTCAGTTGAAGGTGTAATTTTATAAAAATGCATAAAGTGTAATGCTTGCAATTCTCTGAGCCAATGTTTGCCTTTCCCATTAACTACTTGCTGAGTCATCAGTTTTAAACAGTAACTGCTGTTTCTGAAAGATATTTGTAAACAGATGCAAATACAATGCAGAAATCACAAGAGAAGACATGTTAAAAATATCTTCCATTCAAGAAGGCAAGTGAAAACAAGGCTGGAACTAGTATGTGTGTTAGCAAACAGAGAATTTGGAAATTTAAAAAGCTGGCAGTCTGTACTGCAAACTTGGACTTGCTGCTGCAGCTTACGACAATTGGAGAAAAGTGCTGTGAGCATATATGTAAGGAATAGATTAACCATAGCAATGGCATAGATTTAATGCTCTAAAATGAGATGTGTATACTGTTGGGAAGGTAGCAATATTCCATAAAGCTACTTCTGTATGGAACTGTTTTAAAAGAAATAGTACGATATATTATGGTGGTAAAATATTTGCTACTTGATTGGTAGCAGGGTAGTACGTTAAACAGCAACTGCTGACAGGAAACGTTAGGGTGGATTGAGGAACTTGAATCTGGAAATATTAAAAAAATTAGCTTAGGAGCATTCTGAACCTGTAATGTAGATTTTCAACAATCAGTGGAAAGCTGGGAAAATTGCAAAAGACTGAGGGTTGGGGGGGAAGGTTAAGATTGTCTCAGTATTTAGAAGGTAAGTAGAGAGATTGAGAGCTAAGCTGCTCAGTGTAACTACACTGTGCAACCTGTGTTGCAGGTTTTGCAAACCACTGTGCAAGTGAGCTTGCTGGAGCCTTTACGTGGAGAGAAAGAGTGATAGGGCTGAAAATTATTTTTTAGTGTCTCTGTGCAGGGCCAGAAGAGAGGAACTTGACAGAAGCCCCTCTAGAAGAAATCATAGCATCTGGATGCATCCATCAAACACATCCTTCTCCCCACTGCTTCCTTTTGGCGGGGGATTATGGACTGTGAACCTCAATTTGAGGTAGGTATCAAATTTTGCAATGTGGGGAACTGCCTGTGTTCCAGAAGGAATATGCTCTTCTCTCATCAGCTTTTCTCTGTTTTTATTGTTTTATGATAATTTGCATGCTTTCTTATTTATAGTGCTGTTGCAATGCTCCTTCTGAGGCTTTTTCCTTTAATAGGTACTTGAGCTTCTTGTCTTAGGGCTATCGATTCTGTTTAAGGCTGGACATCACCATGTCTGTGTCTGTGTCCTTTACAGATTTACCCCCAAAGAATCCAGGCTGTTCTTACAGCCTCAACAATTCCAGAAAGGTCTTGTCCATCAGAACGGTATGAGTTCACAGCAGAGTATTATAGCAAAGAAGATCCCATGGGACATGCAGATAAAAGATTGGGAGGAGAGGGAGCAGAAGTAGAAAGTGCTTAGTATGTAAGACTTCGACGCAGATTCAGTTTCATGTTTGCATGCACATGCTTACTCAAGTAACAAAGTCAGTCATGCTATTCAAGAGAAAAAAGTACCTATAAGATGCTGTGCTTCATATGAATAGGAAGGGGAAGATTGCAGCACTAATTGTACTGGAATAAGGCTACAGTTCTGGCACAGGAATTTTAGTAGAGGTCACATCAGAAATGCACTGAGAACAGAAGAGCAATATTCCTGCAAGAGTTGCTCAACACATTATCTACATGCCTACTTCAGCTAAACAGTAACTTCAGCTAGTGCATTTCCCTGATGTGAGTTGTAGTTGCTGGAGCTGAAAATTGTCTTCCCCGAGTCCCATCCCAGACTGAACTGCATGTCTGACAACCCACAAAGTCTCCCTTCTGATGAATGGGAAGGGGCAGCTCGAAGTCTGTGAGTGCCATGACAGTAACTCAAGATAGATTTATAGACTTGAGAGTCTTGTATATGTAGTTTAATTCTTTTCTCAGCTTGTGTCTGTATTAGTTGGATGTATTTTTCTTTAAGAACAGATCTCTGCCCAAGTACTTAAACCTGCTGCATATACTCTGTATATATGATTTTAATGAACACCTAGCTGTCTGTAGTCAGAGACATGAATATAGAGTGTACACTTTGGTTAATTAAAAATTCTTATTTGTGTATTTACAGCTTTTACATGAATATATGTTAAAAATTATAATTATATTGGGGTTTTTGATTATTCTTTTTTTTTTTTGAAGCCTTTTTTACTCATAACCTTTCAAGTCTAATTTGCAACAGGGAGAGTGGCAATTTAAGTCTTCCCTGTCATTGTCAAGAGCCTTTACAGAGCACAGCTACAGAACATCTTGTGATATTTCTGCTAACAGAAGCTGTGTTTCCATGCTGGGGTATCTGCCCCTCTATTGACTTGGAAGGGCTGTGGCTGTTGGTTGGGTACCATGGGGAATTGCTGGACATCATCACACCATTGGGCAAGCCTGTGGCTCTCAGAAATAAAACCACGCAGAGCCCGGGCACTTAACTGTTTTGCAAGTGATACTACTCATCCCATATAGTGGAATGGCCAGGAGGGTCTGGACTGGCAAAGTGC